AGACGTTAATGATAACATTCTGATCTGAAAAACAATACAGTTTGACTTTCCAGTAGGATTATTATTTCTATTAAAAACAGTATATGCCTTACGAAAACCTGTGTATGTAGGGAGAAAAGCAAACTGTATGGATACATGCTGTGTTTCAAACCCAAAACATATGGCTCACTCAACAGGATATCAGAAATTTACTATAGCTGATGGCAAAACATAGACTAATATGGAAGGATTTCCCAGAATTCTTTCAGAAGTTTAAGAGATCTTCACAGGAGACCTGTAAAGCAGTAAAATGGAAGCTGATAGTCTCCGTACAGAGCATGCTTCATAATTATATTTTATGCTTGATACTAAAACACAAAGACAAAATATGTCTGTGTGTCTGTGTATCTGTGTGTCCGTCCGTTTGTCCATGTATTGAACATGTGAGAGTTATAGAAATTCATTCTACATTTTAACTATGTATGTACATTTAAAATAATTTAAAAAAAAGCTTTATAATAGGTTTGATCAAATGGGGAGTAATGTGCAGTAACAAGAGACAGCATGGTTGTATGATTTAACCGTAAGGTAGTATAATTGTATACACGCACATAAAGGCAGCTTGTTGGTTGACATGTTAAATGGAGTCAATTTTGTTACAGAATATATATATTTGTCTAAATTCTGAGACCTGTTGTGAAAGATCATTATAGACCAAAATGATGCACAGTTTTCCCATAATGTAGGTAAATATTGATTTATGTTTTATTTGTTTTCCTCTCATACCTATTCTAATAGTGATTTATCATGTGTAGACAGTGGCTTGTAACAAACAGGCCATATTAAAAAACAATCTCCAATGTGAAGCTAGCAGGCAGCATTGACCCCTTGCTTAAAGAGGTTTCTTAGTTGCCAACGTGACAATTTTGGGGAAATTTAAAGTGTTGCCTACACTTTTACAGCTAAATTTGTGTGGTCAGCCCAGCCTCAGTAGCAGATGTCACATTCTCTGTGCACCGCTCCTGTCTCCTACCAGGACTGGACTCGGAATAAAAAGCAGCATTGGAATTTTTTTACTACCAGCTCTATAATGTATGTTGTCACATGGTGCAGATTAACAGGTATAAAAAAATAATAATATTGGAACACTTCAAAAAAACTAAACGACTGCTTTATTGTATGCAAGTATGCAAAAGCATGCAAGCAATGTTTCAGCCCCATTAATTCAATGTTTGTTAATGAAAAGAGAAATCTGAAATGTCCACTGTATATTATTGTTATTATTATTAATATTATTATTATTATGTTATTATAATTATACATTGCTTTTGCTAACTGTTACAGGCAGAGCAGTCTCTGGGTGACCATCAGAAGGTAAGTGCACACATTGCTTCCCTCTTGCCGATCACTGTGTATACCAAAGACATACACTGGGAGCTGGGGGACAAAGAGACACACAGAGGGGTTGGGAGGGACAAAGAGACACACAGAGAGGTTAGGGGAATAAGAGAGAGGATAAAAAGGGCTGGGGGGACAAAGAGACACACAGAGGGGTTGGGAGGGACAAAGAGACACATAGAGAGGCTGGGGGAATAAGAGAGAGGCTAAAAAGGGCTGGGGGAGAAAGAGACACAAAGGGGCTGAGGGGGGAAAGACACACAGACGGTCTTGGAGGGAGAAGGAGACCCACAAAGATGCTGTGAGGGAGACACACAGAGAGGCTGTGGAAGTAGAATAAGAGACACACAAAGGGAAGAGACACACAGAGGCGCTGTGGAAGTAGAATAAGAGACACACAAAGGGAAGAGACACACAGAGGGGCTGTGGAACGTGGAACTGAGACACACAAAGGGGTTAGGGGACAAAGAGACACACAGAAGGACTGGGGTGAGAAAGAGACCCACAAAGGTGCTGGGGGGAGACACACAGAGGGGCAGTGGAAGCAGAATAAGAGACACACAAAGGCCTTGTGGGACAAAGAGACACACAAAGGTGGTGGGTTAACAAAGAGACGCACAGAGGGACTGCTGGGGAGAAATGAGCACAAAAAGGGGATGGAGGAGAAAGAGAGACACATACAATCTGGGGGGAGAAAGAGACCCACAAAGGTTCTGGGGGAAAAGGCACACAGGGAGTTGGAAAGTGGAAAAAGAGACACACAAAGAGGTTGGGGAGAAAGAGACACACAATGGGGCTGGGGGAAGAAAGAGACACACAAAGTTGGCAATTTTTGTTTTGGGTGGTGCAAGTAGCTGGTTTTGCCTAGGGCACAAGATAGTCTTGCAGCGGCCCTGCGCACATACTCTCACTGACTCACACACATACACACATGCATGACAAAATCCATTGTTTTAGTGAATAACCCTGGTGTGTCCATGGGTGTCCATTTTAAAATAATAATAATAAAAATATGTATGAATCAGATCATGTTAAAAAAGAAATACAAACTGCTCAAATCTATCAGAAAACTGACTTTTGTGCAAGAAAATAAGATCACACATATAACAGCTTATTCTCCAACTGCAACCCATCGCTGTCTACACAGCAGTGATCTAGCAAAGCTTTGGCAATTATCCATCAGATTTAAACTGTTCTCTGATTTTCACCAGATTATACATGCTATGAAATATTTGCTGTTGCACTACAAATGACAGCTATTGCTGACAAATGCAGATTGTTTGCATAAGTCTACACAGCTCCATAGATTTCTCTTAAACTATCGCCGAACTGTGTATGAGCAAATGTGATGTCTAACATACAGAAACAATATCAAAGAACAAATGTTGCCAGATCTGATCTTGTTTTTGCAGGTGTTGTTTTAGCTTCAAGCATCTAATTTTACAGTTTCTAGGTAACGCTGTAGGCAGATGGAGATATCATTTTGTCATGGTGAATATATAGGAAAAAGAGAATTAGTTTTAGTTCTAGAGTCAAGACTTACATTTCTATAGTTGACATTTATGATAAGAGGATCAGATGATACGATAACCGATGGTGCTGATGGAAGCAGAGATATTACCTGATACGTCCAAAATGTAAGTGGGGGTTTCAAAAGTGACTCCAAGGTGTAAATTAAAAAGTGAGACGGGGGCCAGCTGCCGCAGGAAGCATGTAACATACGTAAGACCTGCAATTTCCTTGGCATTAGCTCTACAGTGTAGCATAAAAAATAACATTACCCAAGGCAGGAAAATTAATCACAGATATTTTCAATAATATGGAAACAGGTCTGTAAATTAATAACCATAAGAGATGTGTCCAGCTACATGCAAACTATGATTGTGATAAATTATGCTGTTGAATTTTGTCTTCTGTTAAAAAAAAAATATTTTTTTTTTCTAAATCCCAGTCCCTAAACATAATATGCCTCAGTCTGAAATATACTAAAGCTTGGCTTAGCAAGGAGTTGGGTATGTAAGGTTTGAGTTAGGTCTTTTTTTGATTTGGGTAACAGAAACATCCTGGGTGACATCAAAGATATTAGGGGGTGATTATGAAGGGTAATGGCACTGAAGACAGAGTCAAGATTTAAGAATGTGTGGTCACAACAGGCCCTGTAGTTTCTCCTCTTTTAGAGTTTTGAAGTTAACGGCCAAAACTCCAACTTTTAGGGGAACTGCAATTTATATTTAATTACACTATTGAATAAACAATTGAAAAAAAGCCTTTATGTTGTTTTAAGCTTTTATTTTCAGGTGATGCTTTTAAAAAAAAATAATAATAATTAATATGGATTTAGGAAAATACATCCCAATCCAGTTGAGAAAAAACATGTACATTATAATATTTAATTTAGTTTTTCACACCTCAAAAATGCATTTTTGTTAATAAGGATATACAGACATAATATTAAACATTCTGGGAAGTGGCAGCTCCAATCTAGTTATTTTGCATTACTTTAGAGGTAATTGCTGCAGTTTGGATTTTTTAAAATATGTTTCACTTCTAAGGTATATTGAAGTACACTGCTCAAAAAAATAAAGGGAACACAAAAATAACACATCCTAGATCTGAATGAATTAAATATTCTTCTGAAATACTTTGTTCTTTACATAGTTGAATGTGCTGACAACAAAATCACACAAAATTAAAAAATGGAAATCAAATTTTTCAACCCATGGAGGTCTGGATTTGGAGTCACACTCAAAGATAAAGTGGAAAAACACACTACAGGCTGATCCAACTGTGATGTAATGTCCTTAAAACAAGTCAAAATGAGGCTCAGTAGTGTGTGTGGCCTTCACGTGCCTGTATGACCTCCCTACAACGCCTGTGCATGCTCCTGATGAGGTGGCGGATGGTCTCCTGAGGGATCTCCTCCCAGACCTAGACTAAAGCATCTGCCAACTCCTGGACAGTCTGAGGTGCAACGTGACGTTGGTGGATGGAGCGAGACATGATGTCCCAGATGTGCTCAATTGGATTCAGGTCTGGGGAACGGGCAGGCCCACTGCCAAACCGGTCATGCTGGAGAATGTTGCAGGCAGCAGAACGTTCTCCACGGCGTCTCCAGACTCTGTCATGTCTGTCACATATGCTCAGTGTGAACACAGGGCGCCAGTGGCGAATTTGCCAATCTTGGTGTTCTCTGGCAAATGTCAAATGTTCTGCACGGTGTTGGGCTGTAAGCACAACCCCCAACTGTGGACGTCTGGCCCTCATACCACCCTCATGGAGTCTGTTTCTGACCGTTTGAGCAGACACATGCACTTTTGTGGCCTGCTGGAGGTCATTTTGCAGGGCTCTGGCAGTGCTCCTCTTGTTCCTCCTTGCACAAAGGCAGAGGTAGCGGTCTTGCTGCTGGGTTGTTGCCCTCCTACGGCCTCCTCCACATTTCCTGATGTACTGGCCTGTCTCCTGGTAGCGCCTCCATGCTCTGGACACTACGCTGACAGACACAGCAAACCTTTTTGCCACAGCTCACATTAATGTGCCATCCTGGATGAGCTGCACTACCTGAGCCACTTGTGTGGGTTGTAGACTCCATCTCATGCTACCACTCGAGTGAAAGCACCGCCAGCATTCAGAAGTGACCAAAACATCAGCCAGGAAGCATAGGAACTGAGAAGTGGTCTGTGGTCACCACCTGCAGAACTACTCCTTTATTGGGGCTGTCTTGCTAATTGCCTATAATTTCCACCTGTTGTCCATCCCATATGCACAACAGCATGTGAAATTGATTGTCACTCAGTGTTGCTTCCTAAGTGGACAGTTTGATTTCACAGAAGTGTGATTGACTTAGAGTTACATTGTGTTGTTTAAGTGTCCCCTTTATTTTTTTGAGCACTGTATATTGACGTACATTCTAAAATATTCACAGAAGGCAGAGTAAGTTCACAATGACGTACAAGTGTAATGGGGTGTTGTGTAAGATGAGTTTTAGCTTAGTAAGTTATTTGCCTGTTTTGTATTGCTAAATTAATACTCTTTACTTGGGGTTTTTAAGTGATGAACAATTTAGATAATCATTTATCTTGAGCAGAGTTTATTTAAAAGAGTTTTAGTGTTGTTATTAAGATTTACTACTGAAGCTATGTGGTAGGTAGTCACCAGGGGTAGGCAACCTTCAGCATCTCAAGATTTTGTGGACTACATCTCCCATACTGATCTTACAGCCATTCTGCTGGCAAAGCAGTATGGGAGATGCTGTCCACAACATCTGGTGTGCCAAAGGTTGCCTGCCCCTGACCTAGATTAATCAATAAGATGTCAAATATTATTAGCCCTTGCCAGTTCTAAAGAGTGAAGAAAAGCATCATTCATAAAGTACATTAGATGTCACTGAAAGGATTGTTTAGACAAGGAAAAGTGGACCCGTATAGATTGATAGGGTAGTAATATATTTAATTAATGGTAATGACAAGCATAATAACGTAGAATTGATACTGAAGGCTTTTTTGGAGGACCACTGCTACTCTACTTGATTTGATAATGAGTAGCAGTCCCCTACTGGAGACAGTACACCTGCGTTATTCTGTCTCCATTGAAGTAGTAAGGATGCCAAGGTAGATGCAAGGCTTGTTGAAGTTACTCCTCGAGTTTGAACAGATGATTACAAGAGTTTCAACTTTTAGGAATATCCAAAAATTTTAGATAATTCTGAAGCATTCTATTTTCTAGGTCCTGAGCCTTGTTTTGAAGAGTTATCATTGTTGATTGAGATTATGGTACTTGGTCTTCAAATGACTATATGCTCTCTCCAGCTATGCTTTGTCATTGTTCAAGTTCTTGAATGTAGGTGGAAGTTATAACAAATGCTATGGATGTTTTAACTTCGGTGAAAATGAGTAATGACTCAGGAATGCCTGTGGCCTGAATAGCCTTAATTATCAGATTGCCCAGTAACTGAGATTAGGGTACAGTAAATAAGGCAAGTTGGTAAAAAAAAAATTAAAAGATGGGAGTAAGGCAGTCTAATGAGTAAGAGCAATAGGCATACGTAGAAGACCAAGTGGTGGAGCATTGACAAAGAAAGGAATAAAAGGAGTGGGGAGTTGGGGGTGGAGGGTAAGGAACAGGGAATAACAGGAAATGTAGGAGAAAGGGGAGAAGTTGAAGATATGTAAGAAGATAAGAAACGATGAGGGATGTGAAAATAGATTAAATAAAATCTATGCATTTCAGGAAACCCCATTTGCTTTGATGTATCATGCTAAATTAGGGTAAAAATTCAATGGTAAAGAACTAATGTGTCAGTTATAGCAAGTATAGTGGATGGGTTCCAAAAACAGAGATCGGAGAAACAAATTTGGCATCATTCCACACTCAGCGATAAAAGGCAACACCTTGAGATACAGATCAGTTTCTAGGTGCTATCTATTGCGAATGAAATTATTGAGGAGTGTGTTGGTAAATGGGCCATGTCATTGTAAATTATACGTAAATGAAAATCATACTTTAAGAAAATAAAACTTATGCAAGGTGCATTTGCAAAGATCTATTCACAGGTACATAGTGTAACATTGTGGTGCAAAGAAAATTTTTGTTACAACAGGTTATTTGGAACCACCCTTCCAACATTAGCACAGATTAAATGCTACAAATCACATGGATGTCAGTCACAAAGCAACCATAGTGGTTATGGAGAAGTGCCGGAGCCACTTGTGTCTGGACTGATTGTGTCTAAATAAATTGATGTCCAAAAGTTCCACTCATTCAGGGTTATTTACTAAAGTGCGAATTCAAAGTAAAATTAAAGCAAATCTTTAAATTTTATATAAAAATAGCCAAACTGGGAATATTCTATAAATGACCAATTATGCTTCTAGCTGAATTCACTTTCAATTCTCAACCGTGATAGATAAATAACACACAGCTTTATTGATGCACAATAAGGATCAGGGATGACACATTTCGGTAAAAAAACTAAATCAACTTCCCCAGATTGCTGATATAAAAGACATAAATGTCAGGGATTCAGTTCATATCACTGTGACCCTTATATCTTCCTCTAAACCAGGGGTAGACAATCAATTGCACTCCAGATGTTGTGAACTCTGTCTCCCATAACTTTCTAACGTTCTTTAAAAATGGTTCAAACTAAATGCTATATGTATGGTAGGCAATAATCGTATAAATAAAACGAGACCACAAAATAACCACAGACAACGTTTAATTACTTTTCAATGGGCTTGGTCGTGGTATTTATGCAAAGCTCAAGGGGCATACAACCATAACTTTGTAACTATAACTTTGCAACCAAAACCATACCACATAACATATGGTTCACCAACTTTCAAAACTTTTAACTTTATTAACCACCAAATAGCCAGTCAGCCATAACTAACTTGACCGCATTTTACGTAAAACTTACAACTTTATTAACTATCATATTGCCAGTCAGTTATAACTAACCTGACCGCCTTTAATTTAAAACCATTTACCACCATATCCTTCCTCAGAACTTGAGCCTGAGAATCACTTTTGCCCCAATGCTTCATAACACCACAACAATACAATTAAAGTAAAGGGAGGGAGGATGGGGTCCGTCCTCACCGTTCCTGCTTCAGTCCACTCTGACAGGATTAAACTTGTGCTGCTTCCTTTTATACTGTTCCAGTTTCCCGCTCTTTTTCTGCTTGCAACTTTCAACCAATCCCAGGCCAGCTCCAGCCCCCAGAAACAGCTGTGTCATCAATTATGCCCAGATACCTGTCTAACTGACCAACTGCCACAAGATTCAAAATTCCTCACATTCAAATCCTAGACAAAACAGATTAACTCCTTCATTGCCACCATACATATATACCACAGTGCTTAGTGCCTGTGGCTTCTTGAATGTTAATTTTAACAAATCTGCATTTTCTTTATTTAAATACACTTATTCATCTATGCCCTCCTTTACAAAAACAGATCTCCCTCCCACGTTTCTTACTACGCTTTCATATGAAATAAGAAGCTTTTGGGGAACAAGCATCCTGTAGTTTAGAATATATCTGATAGCCCTGACTAATTCACAGCTCTGTTCTTCAGCTCGCTGTACACTTGTAAAGGAAAGCTGCCCAGTCTCAGGAAATTTATAAAACAAGACATGATGTCACCATGCAACAGATACTGGCATCTAGTACTAGTTTAGTGGCTTTTCCAAAGAACTCGCAGAATCTCAATTATAGCGCAAGATGCTTTCTAATTACCATGATCAGTGCTTAAACTTTAGCATGAATAATTGGCAGCAATTAACCCAGGTTAATTTCTACCAAACAGATTTTGCATAATGCAACAGCTGCATTTTTATACCTGTTTGTGAGATGTATTAATAGCAAAACAATGAGAAAGGGAAACAGTTTAATGAATGAGACTGAAATATTGCCAGTGTACAAAACACAATTATAACCATGCCTAAGCAATTTGTTTTTGAAAACTATATAAGAATGACTTTTAAAGAACAGTTCATAATATTATTATACCAACTAATGTGACTTGCAACCTAAACAGAATCAGACTGTATGTGAATGCAATGTAAATTTGTAAAAAATGTAATTTAGGATATTGTGTTTATATTACAATACATTGACTTAAAGGAACACTATAGGGTCAAACATGTATTCCTGACCCGATGGTGTTAAAAATACTATCTAGACCCTGCTGGGCTCCCTAATAAAATAAAATCTTACCTTACATCGTGCAGCATTGCCCCAGGAAGCACCTCTAGTAGTCACCAGAGGAGTGGCCACTGAAAAGACAGTGTTTACAGCAAAATGCCCGCAGAGACTGACTATAGTCACCAGAACAACTACAATAAGCTGTAGTTGTTCTGGTGACTATAATGTCCCTTTAATGTAACAACAGTAACACATATTTTTTGACAAAGGTTTTTTTAAGGTTTTTCTTGATATCTATTGTGATATATAAGGATCATCAAAAGTATCAGTTCCGGCCTTATGTTATTTATGAAACTATTAGTCAACCCAAACAAGTCATTAAGTGGTGCAGTATAGTATATTTAGTAACGGAATATTAGAAGCATGTATCAGTGAGCTATCGTGCAATACAGCATATAGGTAGGTAGTCTGATACAAGATGTGGCAGGGGATCAGTAATAGTGTCTGGGAAAGGCTAAAGTTCCAGTTTATTTATGTCCAAATAGACAGGGTGATGCAATGTTCAAGCTGTGTTCAAGGACTGCAATATCATTAAAGGGATACTCCAACTAAAGAAGGACCGGTTGAAGGGAATACTTGGGCGGTATGGAGCTGTGTTGCTATTGGTCATCAGTCATCAACATGTTATGCATGCTGACAACAGATGTCCAATATGGACAGAGTTAACAGCAGCCAACATAGAATTCTTATTCCAGGCAGACTAAGAACGTTGTCAGAGGTGAAATTACACCTCTGGCAGCAAGATGCTATAATTTTGTACGTGCAGTGTTTCTTAGTGAACCACTGCAAAGGCATGAATCAAGCACCATGACCACCATGACCACTTCAAAGTACTTGAAACTGCTACAAAAATGAAATGTTAAATAGGGAGCAAATCAGAAAAGGTTAGATTTAAGAAGATCTAGATCTGATGAGTAGAATTGCTGGATACATTGATAATAACTATTCTGCAACTGTTATCAGTTTATTGAAAAATTTGTTTACTTTTTTCGTGACTGTGGTTGTGCACAACATTCTACCGAAACACCAACTACCTATGTGAAGTTAGGGTTCACCACAATAACTGTAGAGAGAATACAGAGGCTTCTACATTATACAAACTGCATGCACAATTTGGGCAGATTTAGACAGC